AACATGCAAATATAAATAAATCTAAATATAAATCTAAGTATAAACACAGTTAACATGCAAATATAAATAAATCTAAATATAAAATATAAATAAATCTAAATATAAATCTAAGTGAACCAGTTAACATGCAAATATAAATAAATCTAAATATAAATCTAAGAGACCAGTAACATGCAAATATAAATAAATCTAAATATAAATCTAAGAGAGACCAGTTAACATGCAAATATAAATAAATCTAAATATAAATCTAAGTAGAGAGACCAGTTAACATGCAAATATAAATAAATAAATATAAATCTAAATTAACTAAATATAAATAAATCTAAATATAAATCTAAGTAGAAGACCAGTTAACATGCAAAACATGCAAATGTAAATAAATCTAAATATAAATCTAAGTAGAGAGACCAGTTAACATGCAATATAAATAAATCTAAATATAAATCTAAATGAGGCTTAGAAAATTAACATGCAAATATAAATAAATCTAAATATAAATCTAAGCAGAGAGACCAGCAAATATTAACAAATGCAAATATAAATAAATCTAAATATAAATCTAAGTAGAGAGACCAGTTAACATGCAAATATAAATAAATCTAAATATAAATCTAAGTAGAGACCAGACCAAATATAACATGCAAATATAAATAAAAGTATTAAATGCAAATATAAATAAATCTAAATATAAATCTAAGTAGAGACCAGTTAACATGCAAATATAAATAAATCTAAATATAAATCTAAGTTTTCTAATGTTAACATGCAAATATAAATAAAAGTTTAAATATAAATCTAAATATAAATCTTAGAGACCAGTTAACATGCAAATATAAATAAATCTAAATATAAATCTAAAGAGAGACCAGTTAACATGCAAATATAAATAAATCTAAATATAAATCTAAGTAGAGAGACCAGTTAACATGCAAATATAAATAAATCTAAATATAAATCTAAGTAGAGAACATGCAAATATAAATAAATCTAAATATAAATCTAAGTAGAGACCAGTTAACATGCATTATAAATAAATCTAAATATAAATAGAAAAGTTAACATGCAAATATAAATAAATCTAAATATAAATCTAAGGAGAACCAGTTAACATAAATATAAATAAATCTAAATATAAATCTAAGTTTAACATGCAAATATAAATAAAAAATCTAAATATAAATCTAAAAGAGGACCATTAACATGCAAATATAAATAAATCTAAATATAAATCTAAAAGAGACCGACCAGTTAAATATGCAAATATAAATAAAGAGAGACCAGTTAATTAAATATAAATCTAAATACAGAGACCAGTTAACATGCAAATATAAATAAATCTAAATATAAATCTAAGTAGAGAGACCAGTTAACATGCAAATATAAATAAATCTAAATATAAATCTAAGTTAGACAGTTTTTTAATAACATGCAAATATAAATAAAGAGAGACCTTAACATGCAAATATAAATAAATCTAAATATAAATCAGAGAGACCAGTTAACATGCAAATATAAATAAATCCAAATATAAATCTAAGCAGAGACCAGTTAACATGCAAATATACCAGAATACAGTTGCAGTTGCTGGTTGCCCAGCTGTTCTATTTTGCTACACTTTCTTTTTTATTTAATAATTTAATTCTATTAAAAAACATTTTGCAGAAATTCAGCATTCAGAACCACAAGACATGAATAAGTGTTATATTGCAATAAAAACATTTTCATGCATTATGTTTCTGTTTTTAACTCTGTAAATTAAGTGATTAAAAGCAATATGGCTGTTTTGTTCAAATACTTGTATCAATTATAGTATATATATATATATATATATATATATATATATTTAGTTGGATTGATGTGAGTTTGTGACCCTGCTTTCACGCTTTTGCAATCGTCAGACAAACTGATTAATTTTTTTAAATTTTGGATTTATGTAGGGTTGCATGTAACACCACATAAACCACCATTGGCCCTATAAACATGAATAGAGAAACCACTGATACCATAATACCATCAATTATTCTCTAGTTCAAGCTACCATCATAATAATTGCATTTATTTTTATTTACCACTATTACTAATCACTTCTACCACTTTACAATAAATATTTGCTACTACAATTGTTATTATCATCAACCCCCCACCACCACCATTACTACCACATGTCCTAGGTAAGACGTTAAACTATGTCCAGCAACAAGGCCTCTCATCAGGAGGTTTTGAGGAGCGTGGAACCACCTCTTAATTGCTGGTGTTCCCTGGTCCACTCTGACCCAGGGTGGTAGCACCTGTTAGGGTTTCAGCTATGGGCAAAAAGTTAACTATTACCAGCAATACTTTTTTGAAAAAAATTATTACCAGCAATACAATTTTGAAGGAAATATATTACTAGAAACAGATTTTTGACAAAACAAAATATTACCAGCAATAAAAATTTTTGTCAGCATTAAATAACCCATTGAGGTTGATATGCCGTAAAACAAAATAAACAAAACCAATCTAAACCAAACAATACATACTCTATTCATACAAATCTATCCTAAAAATGTTGTCGGCATTAAATAACCCATTAAGGTTGATATGCCATTAAACAAAATAAACCAAACCAAACCATTACTACCACATCACAATTACTATTGCCGTATTAGTCCACAATCACCATTAACATAAATTACTCCTCTCTCCCCCAGCAAAATTAATACCACCGCATAAAAACTAACACATATTACAAATTGGAATTTCTACCATTTACATATGCCCAATCACCAAAAACAAGCAAATGACAGGCTTTAAAATAACAACAAAACAGCCTTAAAAAATTAAAAATAATAGCAATTTGTACCTATCATAGTTTTATAACAGACCCCATCATACATATATATTTGCTAACAAATTTCCATCACCACTAGCATCTTCAGTGGAAATGTAAGCATTGGAACTTGTATCAAAGGGAAAAGACAAGATTGCTTGGTTAGGTGAGTCTGATTTCTTCTGAATAAAGTGGATGCACTGTGAGGAAAACCAAAAAGTAATTGAGGTAGTTCTACTGGGAAACATTAGTCCCTATCATTCATGTGGAACATACTTTATGATATACCACTAAGTTCCACATCACATTGTTGCAGGCAAATGGTTTCAGAAACAGGAAAAAGACATGTTATCACTGCTACCAACCTACCAGCTCTCAAGTTAATTTATGTATGATGGATTGAACCAACAATTTCACTCTGTAATAAATGATGAAACTATCCAATAACTTTCATAGTTATAAATCCAAGAAATATCAGTGAGTGACTTCCATCGCTTGAGCTATTTCAAAGGCTCTCTTAAAAGTTAAATCACTTTCAAACAATAACTATGAAAGTTATTGGATAGTTTCATCATTTATTCCACACACAATTCTCCAGGGTCACACTGAAGTTGCAGTTATCTGAAATGTGTTTAAAGTCTGCCACAGGTTTGTCTGTTTTTCTGATGCATGTATAGAATTTGTAATGCTGAACAATCTCTGGGGGTTTTGATTGGAAGTGTTTTTTAAATACTTTATCTATTTCTGGGTAACTTTTGTTTATTGGTCTATTTGGAGTTAACACCATTTGGTTTTAACACCTATAATGATCAGAAATATCCTGTGTCATTCACAATGTAGAATTCTAATGTTTCAATGCATTGAGGCCTCTCCTCAGACCCTGTATATCCCTCTATTTTTATTTCTACATCAGTGAGAAAAATATTTTAAAACAAACAAAAAAAAAACTCACTATTCCAAATTTTGCTTCTTACATAAAAACCCCTTTCCCAAATAGTTATAACAATTTTCACTTCATTGTTTTCCACTTTCATATTTTGTTTTCATGAAGTATTTATCTAAGAAACAACCATGAACCTCTTGGAGGATAAGAGTCCATTCATTTTCTTTTTTACAACTACTTATAATCAGTTATTAACACAGACACTAGAGAAAGGGTTTAATACAGATTTAATCAACCTGGGGTCTTTCTCTCAAGCATCACAGCATAAAGAGCTATTACTTTTACTGGCAAGGGAAGGGGTTAGTAACAGAGGCTCATAGCCTATGTGCAATGCATAGTCACCATATACAACATTGTTTAAGAACTGTTTTGTGAGGCACATAAAGGACCAACACCTTATGAAGCAAGTGGCCATAATGTTTTTGTGTGTGTGTACATATACCAATTTTAATAATCATTAAACCAACTGCAATTTATTTATATAATACTAAATGTCTGTTTTTTTATGTAATCTCCAAGAACCTGAAACGATGACAAGGATATTGAATAAGTGTGCAAATTACAGAATACCAAAAAATCTTAGTGATTTGCAACGAAATATTAAAAAGAAAAAGATTTTTCAAGGGAGATAACTTCTAATTATAGAGTACTACCCCTTTACTTACGAATGAACTCCTTCTAGTTTCAAGACTAAATTCATTGATAAAACATTTTTCCATCATAATTTTGTATCAAAGGATAACCCAACATATCTCAGAGTTGTTCTAGCAAGTGATAAAAAAAAACTGATCCAAAATCGTACATACACTTTCAATAGACATATTTATTTATAAACTAGCATATAAATATCAGTTTCAATGGATGATTCTATTTTCTAAATATTTTCTTTGAAAATGTTTTCACAATATTTGTTAGTAAATTTTATTTAAGCCAATTGTTAGACATCTTTAATTTGTAGGGAAAAAATGAGATACTTTGACAAAAAATGAGCTGCTTTGATAATGTCATTCCAAAGTCTAAACATTTTCTTAGCAACATTCAAAGAACTAAAGTGGTTTGTTTCAATTCACTAAAAAGTAAAACAAATTATAATTTTCCTTTTTACTATCAACTAATACTGCTGTAACAATAAATAAACTTATCTGCTTTACTTTCATACCAGACACAGTGTACAAAATTAAAGTAAAAACATCTGACATTCGCGGAGCTGGCACCAATGCTGGAGTTTTTCTACTCCTATTTGGAATGGATGGAGATTCTGGTGAAATTTCTTTAACCAAACCAATCAACAATAATAGCCCATTCCAACGTGGGCAACTGGATGTATTTGAGGTGAATGACATCCTCAGTCTGGGAAAACTTAGCAAATTACGAATTTGGCACAATAATAAAGGTAAACTACTTTCTCAAATTGGTAACCATTTTACTTTAAGTCATAAACCAATAAAAGGAAAAATTAATTTATTAATTACTTATTAAATATTTGTCTCTTATTGATATTATTTCTATTTTAGTGTTTTTACATGAATAAAAAATTAATTAGCATCATGTATAATTTTTATACAAATATTTCTTCTTTATTTCATCATTTCACACCAATTAAGGTAATAAAAGCCACTAGGATGCAAAGTTTTACTGAAAGTGAAAGAAACAGAGAGGAAAATAAAAGAACAGGATTCAAGGAGACAGATGACAACAATGATTGACATTGCATTTACATTTATGAAGATCCTAATTGATAGGAAAGCAGGAAACAAGAAGAGATATAAGGGAGGACGGTGGGAGAAAAAACTATCAGTATAGAACATGATTACAATTAGTAATTTCATCAGTGAAATCAGGAGGCCTAGCTGCCAACCTAGTACTGCATTTAAAGTCATAAACTCAAAGTATAGACAAGTTCATCAGAACAATTTAGTAATTCTAACAAAAGTCATTATCATACTATTATAATTACTCTTTATACCATGTTATAATTATCTTTTAATGTCAAATCATTATTAATAGTGTAGCTTTTCCCCTACTTATTCCTACTGGATTAAGTTATTATTGTTATAAACTCCTTATTATTGATATGTATTTCTGTTGTTAATTTTTAAACTAATAATAAAGATAACAATAATATCCATATTACTACTTTCAAATTAACATTGACTTTTGGTAGGAATTGGATCAGCCTGGCACTTGTCATTTATTGAAGTTGTGGATGAAAAAACTGGCAGGGTTTATACTTTTGACTGTGACAAATGGCTATCAAAGTCTGAGGATGATGGACAGATTATCCGTGAACTTACCTGTTTTGAAGCTGCACCTCCGAGTGTTAAGAAAAAAACAGGTTAATCCTTTAATATTTATCAAATATATCATTAGGTTTATAAGAATTGTATTTTTAAAATGTACTTGAATAACTGTTGTCATATTTGCTGATTAAACGGGATTGAAAATATTTTTTTGTGATTTATTTTAAATTTCTATACTTTCATTTTCTAATTATATTCAGTTTTATAAAATATTTTAATTCAAAAAACCATAATTTTCTTTAGCTGTCCTTGCCTTTCACAACATAGTAAAATATAATTAAGATCAGACATTTGTTTACATTTAAAGCAAACACAAAACTCTTCTTCAATGGAAGAAATTGTAAAGAAAAGAATAAAAAGGTCAGATTGCCTACAAAGTTTTTTTAAGATGTTCAATTTCATTATAGGAATTTCTCTTTTACAAATATTATGTGAATAATTTGTAACAAGTTTTCAAATTTGTATTTTCTCTTTTTTTAAATATTGTGATAAGCAGCAAAGTTTGGATTTCAAGTGATGTAGACTCGAATCCCAAACTTTACTTCTTCATTTCATAGTCTCTTTATCTTTTTTTAAAACAGAATATTCCATACAAGTGATTACAACAGACAAGAAAGATGCTGGGACAATACACAATGGATGGTTAATACTTGAGGGTGAAAACAAAATTTCCAAAGTATTTCAAATGGTTAACAGTTCTCAGCAAAAAATACTTCGTAGGTAGGTATAACTCAAGTACATCAACTCTCAAATGATTGTTCTCTTTATTTTCCTTTGTATATGATTTTTAATGCATAAATAAAAGGTATATTGAAATGTTATATTCTTTCCTAACTCCATCCTATACACGCTATATTATTGTAAATATAATTTTAAGATGGAAACTTCAGTGTGACCTTCTTAATATCAGTATAAAAATGGTTAGGCAAAATCAATTTTTATGCAAGGGACATAACTACGTTTCGTACATTTCGATTTTTACTTATCAATTCTTCATTTAGATATTGTTTTTTAAATAAATCTGAATTTTATTCTTCATTGGAATTATAGTTTAATTATTCTAAAGTCCCATTGTGGAGCCAGAGTATATAACTAGGCTATACATAAACCTGTTGAGTTCCTTTTAAAAGCATTTTATCATACAAAATAACGTATGTGTATATATATATATATAAAAAGAAAGAACAGTAAGATATATAATCTGTTATTGTAAATTTACAGAGCATTAATATTATAAATTATCTAGTTGTAGATACATGATTACAATTTATAATAATTTTAGTATTTAGCATATTATAATTTTCAAAGGTGATGGTTATTTAAAAAAACAAAAAACAACCCTAAAACCAGCAATCATCTGCTTAGGGAGATTCATAGTTAATGAAATAAGTAGGGAAACCTCCTTTTTGTGCATTTATTTATTTTTTTTTTTCTATGTATTTTTTCAATGTAATAATTATATTTTTATTATACATACTTGGTTCTTTCTCACATTTATTGCAAAATACATAATGGCAGCAAACCAATGAACATCTATTTACCAACAAGCCAGCCATACAGATTACCTCTTACGATGACATACCCAGTGTCTTCACCTATCAAGTACTTGCCAAGCAACTGAGACATTTGTTTATAAAGAAGTTTTAATGTTGTGTAGTGAATTGTAGTGTTATGTATATTTAAATTTCTCTAATAATGTAATTATAATGTATTATGCATGTTTATTTTCACACACATATAGTTGGAATATAATATACAAGTGTTTGCACAGATTGATATATGTACTAAAACAAATACTGAATTTCATAATCAAAATGCCATAAAGAAAAATGGCCCTAGCTCAAGAACTCCTTGTCTAATTTTAATGAAAATTGGCACTGCACTTGGAAGGGATTTAAGAAACAATATACTTGTATTGGGGAACACACAAAGATTAGAATTTTAGTATTATATTGTAATATATGTAATGTTTGAAATTAGAAATATCTAACTTGTTGCACCCAAATCTGTTCTTTAGTTGATAGTGTGACATTTTGTAGAATCAGAGAATTTCTTCCTGCTAAAGAGACTTACTAAACTTTAGACCAAATATAGTGCAAAAATGATATACAATGCTATGGAAAAAAAAACAAACCATGAAGTGGAAACAGCTTTTGCGTAATGCATTTCATTCTTTAGGACTTCATTGGACTAATGTAATGTTTACATTGATGCAACTACACAATGAGATGCTGAGAATTTTAAATTAACTTTTTATTTAGATGTTTTGGGTATATAGTCTAGCTGTCACTTAGTTTCTTTCTGTTCATATTTTCATCACTTTTATTAAATATACCACACTGTGATAATGAACCTGGACATAATTTTACTGTCAATGATCTAGTAATTAAAGTACTTTGTATATATTTTCATCTTAGTATAATTGCTTCCTTTTAGAGTAGCAATTTGTATTTGTCAATATTCTTTTAAGAATCAATTATATATTTTCAAAACATATACAGAAAAAAAAAGATTAAGTTTTAATGTTTTAGTCTATTAGTTTTGTGAATATATTTATATACATAGATGATTATTTCCAGCTTTTACCGGCTTAAAATATATATGCATTTCCATTTCATTTGATTAATCATGGCACAAATAAACATCTGTGTAAGATGCAAAAGTGTCCTCAAAAATAAAACTTTTTCTAATGTAAAATAATTATTTATGTAAAATAATTATTTTCCTTCATTTTCAGAGGTAACCATGATTATTTCACCTTTACAAATGAACCTCTTGGTTGGCTACAGGCTTGCATTGTAGGTGTTGTTCAGCACAAAAATGGTGGAAATAATTCAAACAGAGAAAACAAATGGCACTGCAGTGAGATTTGGGTCATTGACCAAACAGATGGAACTAAGTGAGTATCCATTATATTTTTATGCTTCCTCTTTTAGTTTTTATGTCCAATGATATTAAAATTGGAAACACAAATTGTTTGCTTAGAATATCAAATAAATTTGTTCAAACATACAATGGTTCTTCAAGCAATTCACATGACTGAAGAGAAATTGAAAGAGCTTATATTGAACTCCTGGCTTGAACCCATTCTAACTTGCAGGTATGACAAGTCTCCAGATCCTAATTAAAATCTAACACAATGGTCTCTTAATTATTTTATTTTTGCCTCTGGCATTAGGTGAGCCTCTTCCAGAAAGGTAATCTTGAGAAACCAATCAGTGAAACTTCATATATTTCACTTCTTTCAATCTCGACATTCAAAATGTCCAGATCAATCTTCAGTCTCTTTATCGTCTACATTTCTTACTTGATTGTTATACTGACAACTGTTAACTTGGATAGTCTGCAATTTATTTATAAGCTGACACACCCAGAAAGTTCTAACAAAATGCTCTGTACATTTTTGCATACTCAAGCATTTCCAAGGACTTGGCCACCAAATTTAACTCCACTATTTGCTTAGCTCTTGCTTGACTAACAATATATTGGACATCTGGCACTGCAAAAATCCTTCAGAAAAATTATCAATCCCCACTTGTGAATCACACCAAAGTTGGCAACCAAATCTTTTAAAATTTATTTAAAAATGTGTTGGTGTAAGTTACTGGAGTGGTTTTTACCAGTAAGTTGAAATGGGAATTAAAAGTTGACATGAAAAGTAGATAGCCAAGCTAGATAATTTGGATTTTAAATCATATCCCTAAACTCAGTCAGATCTTAACCAAAATTAGCATTTTTTATTAATACTATCCAATCATTCTACCTTGATTATTTTAATGAGGTTAATTCTGCTGACATTTAACACAAGAGGATGCATTTATGTAAATTAACTAGTAACCTGACATATACAAGAAACAGATCTCAGTCAGAAAAGACAAATCAGTTCAAGGCAATCAGCAGACATCAGCAATATTAACATAGTTGACATCAACACTGCTCTTTGCTACTCATTCCATCACTCTTTGCAAGATACTCCTTAAGAATAATTTAATCAAGGATTAGAAGAGTTTTTGGATGCCAACCTTGGTTGCTGGCCTATTTCCTTGTTTGAATTGTTGTCTGGATATTGATGTTGCAATATGTTAAGAATACTAACTCACAAAATGGCCATAGACCACAGAATTGAGAAGGGTTAATCTGATAAATGTAATCAATAAATAAATTCTATAAGCAAAATTCAAATGTCTGTTCTGAAAGTGGCTTCCTTCTTTACTTTTCTTGCAACTCAACCTCTTTGCAACTGGGAATGTTTCAACCAGCTTTGCCTAAGACTTCCTCTGATCAAAAACACAACATAAGCAAGGAAGATCAAGTAGTGATGTAAGGTATACAGACAGCAGCCCCACTCTCCTATAGGACCAAAGAGAAGATCTGGTTACTATTGTTCATAGCTTTCCTTTTATTTCAGATATACTTTTATTTGCAAAAACTGGATTCAAGTGTCAAGCAAAATTTCCATAAATGATGCAATTAGACTCAAAGTGACAAACATCGAAGAAGATCAAGTATCACTGATCCGAAGTAAGTACAATTTTGTATAATGTTTTAATATCCAATTGGGGCGAAAAAGAAATGAACAAACTAATAAAATGTTTTAAAATGTTCATAAAAAAAAATCAAATGGATTTTCAGGATTTGAAGAAACAAAATGGAGAAATTTCCAAATTAATCAAGAAAAGACATTTTTCAAAACAAACAAGTGTAGTTCAGTTTTTAACAACCAAATAGAAAACTTGTAATTTTTTTTAAATTAAGAAAACTTCCTAAAACAAAATTTGTAAGGCAAAATATAACTAAAAACTTTCCTATAAATAAAAAGTAAATCAACAGTGAAAATGATTAGTGATCAAATTATCTATGTATATGATCAGCTAGAAAATAAATATTCTTAATTCAAATAGAAAAAAAAATCCAGTATCCTAGGAAAATGGATAGTTACAATTGGAGCTAAAAATTAAAATAAGACTTCAAAATAAACTTTGAATCATTACCAAAAAGTTTAATTTTAGAAAAGGATTGCTATATGATCTATAATATATTTATAATAGTAGAGGAATCCAGAAAAATATAAACTAAACTTTGGCACAAGGCCTTGCCAGTGCAGCAACTAACAAGAACTTAACAAGCTACAAATGAGTCTACAAGATCAAATTTCAACATGGTACACACCTTCCCTATTAAAAGATATTTTCCAATTTACTACAAATTTCTAGAGGTTCTAGTAGGCCAAAATAAGTTGTTTTCCAATATCAAACTTAGTGCACATTTGCTATGGACATTAAAATTTAAGGAAATTTATATAATGAAGTAGATGCTGTTCAGAAGAGCAACAGATTCTACAACTACGCAAACACAAGATATGCTGCATATTTCACCATCTTGTTTCACTATTTTTTGCCAATTTCATATTCCACGCTCACAGAACTTTCTATTTTTCTCAGTAAACTGATCATGACTTTTGTAATCTTCCAGGGAACCAAATATTTTATTTAAAGAATTCTGCAAATACAGGAATATGGCAGATGAGTGCAACTACAATATCCCGATTTCATGTCCTTTAACAAATTTTACATCTTTCATTTATTACTGCTTTTCTTTATTTCAATGTCACAGTATTTGGAAGGAGAAAAGCTCCATGGCCTCAATTTTTGGTGACCAGTTTTAGTGGTAGTTAATTTCTCTTGGTCTTCACCATCCCCAATGTTGTAAATTATCTACATTACCCAACCATCAGGAAAACTTTCAGTGAGAAATGATTTTTGGTTTTTCTTTTATCTTCAAATTTTAACATTTTTAAAACAAATTTTATTTTGAATAAAGTTAAAAAGAATCCCTCTTAAATCCATCTAATGACAAACATAACATTTAGCATGTTTTTTTGCAGGGGAGTTTTTTTTTCAAGAAAATCAATTTAACACCTCTACAGTACTGTTTATACACACACACACAGTGTGTGCATTCATAATGTAATGAATTAGCGATGAAAAGTGCAGCAATTTTGATGCACAGATTTATTTGTGACTACATGAGGGGAAAAGTGGGAACCAGTACCACATTACTATACAGCAATCTTTTCAAACTTGGTGCTATGATTTTCATTTTAGTGACATTTTGGTTTGTAATATTTAGATACAATCTAAACCTTTTATTCAATTCATGAGGGCTTTCCTCATTCCACATAATCCTTTTGATGTTACTGCTGCTTAATCCACTGAATACAAATATATGAATTTCACTGCCTGACTCAAGAATTGAACTCACAACTGAGTAATCAACATTTTTATCAACTAGGCCTACAAGAAATTTTGTATTTATTATACAAATTTGAGATACATTTGTCTCTAATGTCTGTATGCAATGCAAAGTGTTTAAGCAGAGAACCAAAAATCACCTATGTTGGTAGGTGATTTTATTTAGACAAGAGTTTAGTCATTTTATGATTTAAGTTTTTCATTCCCATTAACACATGAAATTAGATGTTGCACATAAGTTTTTATGCTCTTTCAAAGAAAGTCTCATGCAAAAAAGTTTATTTCTTGTAGTTGTAATACAATAAGACTCATCAAACAACCATGTCAGTCACTTCAAAATGCTCAGTGAAAATAGAGAGAAAAAAAAAAATGTCTAAATTCTGATTAACAAATTAACATATATATTACAGAACTTGATACGATGAAATATGAAGTCCATGTTTTCACTGGGAATGAGAAGAATTCCGGAACCAATGCAAATGTTTTCCTTACCATTTTTGGAAAAAATGGAGATACAGGAAAACGTCCACTGAAACAGAGATTCCGTGATTTATTTGAGAGAAATCAAATGGATTCGTTTATAATTGAAAGTATTGATCTTGGTAAGTATTTGTATAATTTATCAACCTCTTAATTTGTGCAAGAGTAAAAAACAAAAGAAATCTTGATAGTTTTACATTCCAGACACATACAAATATATTGACAATACCTGATGTAAAATATTCATCATTGAGAAGCAGGTGCTCCAATTTACTTTATATGCATTTTCAATTAAGTTTGTAAAATATCTTTAAGATATAAAATTACACAATTTACATAATAAATTAATGCAAGAACCATTGTCAAGTACATTTGTTTTCATACATATAAACTTTTAGCTGCAATATATTTTAGAATATCCTTTACTTTTTACATGTTGGTAGATATACCTAATTGTTTATACTGTCAAAGAAAAAAAACAGCAAATCTATTCGAAAAAGCCTCCAAAATTCTTTTTTGACAATATAAACAATGAGGTTATCTCTAAATTACACGATCATATGATCAGTATGGTCAAGCAGACACTTTGGACATTAATACCATTTACTTTATTGGTCATTTTATTATTTTGCATGGATTATCAATTTTAATATCAGAACAAGATATAAATATATTTTTATTGTCAATAAAATTATTACTTCAGCTATGAGAATTACTAAAGTTGAATTTTCTATAATTGAAGACAAAGGTATGTACAAAATCTTGGATAGGTTAACTTTAAAATCCAATTTTTTTTGTTTTTTTTTTCAATATTCACCATTGTGCATTTCTCATTTTCTTTTTAATAATTAGGTAAGTTGACAAGTATATTGATTGAACATGACAATAGTGGCTTCCATCCAGGTTGGTTTCTTGAGCACATTGAGATAACCAATGCAAAGGAGACTACCATTTTTCCTTGTCACAGGTGGTTGGATAAAGAAAAACAAGATGGACAAATAGCTCGAACACTTTTACCACAATCAGATTAATTGGAAGGGAAGTTATACCCACTCCCACAAATTGTTATATTCTTCAAAAAAGCTCCTAAAATGTGATAATTTGCAATTACTTTTTTCTTATGTAAGAAATTTGAATTTACTGTTTGCTCAATTTTGGTTATCATTTTAAAAATAAAATCAGATATCTGTAAGTTATTCTTAATTAAAATATCACATACATTGTTTATTTTTCAAATTTGTTATTTTATTTCAAATGTTGCCGTTTTAATTGAACACTTCATCCCCCCTCTTTCTCCTCAAAACAGGAGCTTTCAAAAATTGATAAGTGTGCATAAAGTTTTGAGAATTTAATTTAGTTATCAGTTAAAATTCCCAACTATAGCCACAAGTGAGATTCAAACAAAAATGTAATCTGTACCTGTGAGATCAATTTGGTACAAGTGGATAATTAGGTTTATAAACAAATACGCAGAATTTTGCAACTGGGGCAGCTGTTAAATGTAGAGATAAATTTTTTTTTATTTTTTGGTAAAATGTTAGTATTTTTACACCAGAATGTTTTAAATGTTGAATATATTTTAGAATTTCATATCAATGAGGATGAGATGTTGGTATTCTGAATCTGTCAAAAATTTAGAGATTTTTCCATATCTACAGGGAGATCAAGATTTCTATAAATTTAAAAATTAAATCAAAATTTAAATAGTTAACACTTATTGTTTTCTTCTGTCAAGGATTTGCGATGAAAAGTACTAATATTATGAATTAGAGCAATACAACATTTGTAAACAAATGTTGCCAAGAATGTTCAAAAATTCTTGCATTCCTGGAGATTTGAAATTAAAGAAATACTAATATGAAAATGTACACTAAAAACCTTACTAATATATATATATATATAAAAAAAAAAGTAACATTTTTTTCATATGTAGTCAACAATTGCATATGACAAAGAAAAAGAAAAAAGTTTTATTAGTGAAATCAATCTGCTATCACTTTGTTATTGTAGCTAAGCCTTTTATTAGGCACCATTTCCAAATTTCAAACAGCTGTTCAAATGTGAGATGTTGGCCCCCTTATGTTTGGTACTGTCACCATTAGGCATTTACCAACTTTATACAAGATGAATATTATTTTTATTTTTTTTTTTTAAATGCATCAGCTATACATATGAAATGAGAAAATACACTGAACTCATAAGTTATGAGTTTTTGTAACGGTTGACTATTCACCAATCAATTGTACATTTAAATTTCTCTGAACTGACTTTTGGAAGGAATATCACTTAAACCTATCAGAAACAAACAAACTCAATTTCTGCTATAAGGGATGGAGAGAGAGGGATGGGAAAAAAAAGGAGAGAGAGAGAGATAAATCAATCTCTTACAGCCACTACTGGTGTCAGTACAAGAGGAAGAGAGGGAAGGGAAAGAAAAAAGTCAACAATATGTTTTGTGTTTTAAGTTTTAAGTTTTCTGTACTTTATTGGTGATATAGCAGACTTTCCACGTTCTTCTCACTTGATTGGACGATTTGTAGGCTGATATGACAAGCTAACACTTGCCAATGGGAACTGAAACTATTTGGTTTTCCATAAAGAACCAATTCTGCACACATTGATTGCCAAGGTTTGGTAGGTAGGAAATTAGGACAACGAAAAATCAGTGAGGTGAGAGATAGACAGGTGTGTGGAATAGAGGGGAGAAATGGTAATGAAAATTTCTTACATAAACATGTAAAAAAAAAAAAAAAAAAAAAAAGAGAGAGACAGGCACACACCATGTGTACACATGCATGTGATTAGCACTAGTGTGTGCAAATGTGTATGATTTTTTTTTTTTTTTTTTTGTATGAGATTATAAGTTTATTATATAATTACACACACGCACACATGCAAAATGTTGATTGGGTAACTGTTTTAAGGCTGGATACCTAAGTCAGAAGGAACAGCTGAAAAGTCGCTAAACCAGCATTATCATCATCATCCGCACAATAGAAAAGCAGTGAATGAGATCTTGAGTGGCAAACAAGTGAGCCAAAGATGTAATAAGAAGCTCACCACATTCTGCTGTTTACTTGGTGCTGTGAGGAAAGAAAAAAAAAAAAAAAAAAAAAAAAAAAGAAAAGAAAAGAAAAACATAATACAGTTGTTGCCTGTTGAAGTTGCCTTACCACTCCTATACCACTCAAAATCCACAAGAACTCAGGAATGGGAGATTAGAGGGATGGGATAAAGTAATTACTTAATGATTGGGAAGGAAGGGGGGTGAATTCCAAGCTGAAAGAATAAAATTAATGGAGATTTATTGGATCCTTTTGTTTAGCTTTACACAATTAGAAAAAAAAAGTCTTAGCAGCTTTGTACCCTCCCCAGCTTATGAGCAAAAAAGAAATGAACTTTTAAGAAAGTGTTCTTTTTGGGTTTTTTTTAAATAGTGTTAAAAAAAAAAAAAAAAAAAAAAAAATCTCAAAGTGTATAATATAAAAACTTTTATAAATGAGGTAATGCAGAAGAATTTAGAAAGAATTCTAATTTGGTGGAGAAGGTATCACATTGAGAGAAATAATAATAATAACGATGATGATGATGATGATGATGATGAGCTAATAAGTAACAGAAAAATACTTCTTCAGGAAAGGACCCAATAAACCTTCCACAAATAGTGTCCTAGAGTTCAGTATGTGTCAGAGCCTGTGACACTCAGCCAGCTGGGGTAGGTATGACAGACCAACAACAGAGGAGCATGCAGCTGTGAGAACAAGAGGTGGAGTAAGATGGTAAGGAAAAGACTAAATAGACAAATACATATATAAGTAGTGAGGGAGGAAAAGGAGCTATTTAGAGGGTGTTGCATGACACCTGTTGGTGGCCAGTCAAAGAGTCTGACCAAGTGATGCTGTTCCTAGGGTCCAGTCATTTACTGCTGAGCCAAAGGCTGTTGAGGGAAGGTCGTCCGACCCAGCCCACCTCCGGTGCCTCTCCCTCCACGGATACTTCCTCCTCTGGGTTGGCCTCGTACAGCTGAAAACAAAACAACAATGACAACAGTTCAAATTGTAACTTACTATACACAACCACAACTAATATATAATACTATACTACACAAGTTCAGATGGCCGATTGTATCTATACTTTCATCTATATGCTGTGAGAGTGTGTGTGCGTGTGTGTGTGTGTGTGTGTGTGTGTGTGTGTGTGTGTGTGTGTGTGTGTGTGTGTGTGTGTGTGTGTGTATAAGAGCTGTCAGCCTAAAAACAAGCACCATACTATATAAAATTTGAAAGAAAAACTATTGTAAAGTTTTGCAAAAAATATAACATTGGAAACTGAATTTAAATAAAAAAAAAACCCTGGAATAACAGCTGATATAAAAACTTGTCTCAAAGATATGTACAAAACATTACACATTAATAAAAGGAGGTATTTCTGGAATGATTAAAAAGAAATACATTTGCACTAAAGCAGTTGCTTTTGAAAAACATTTATTAACAAATCAATTTTAAAAAATATATAAAAATAAAACATTGAATTTTAACACATTCTGGCTTGAGTAAAAAATGAACTTATAAATAAAGGGCACAGTAACAAGTAAACTCACTACTTGATCACTTGTATTTTTAAATTTGATAATGCAAATCTTGTTACATTTTCTCTATGAGCAAACTCTTCTTTTGCAGTTAGAAATATATATATAATAAAAGACTTGTCTAACTTGTAGAAAGCATAAAAAAGAAAAATTGTGAATACTCTATAAATTAAGTGTTGACAATAGATAAATACATTTCAGAATAAAATTTCAATGAGGGGAGGAGGAAAAAAAACGAAAACATTTTGCACCATTTCTATATGACTAAATATAGACAGAAACATGCAATAAATGTAAAACAAATTTATCAGTTTTTATTGAAAGATATCACAGGCCAATTTCAATAATAAAGTTTAGATTAACCAACATTTAACTTAAGTATTTATAAATATTATAGAATTTATAAATACTTTAAAACTTATTTATTTCACCAGTCAATATTTAAAAGAAACCTTTTAACATCTAAAATGCATCTTAAATATTGACTCATAAAATTTGAAAGTGAGTTTATATCCTTCCCAATTATTTGGATGGATTTAAAAAAAAAAAAAAAAAAAAAAAAATTGAAAATTTTTTTTAAGCTTTTATCAGAACATTTATTTTTCAAATTTCAGAGTGAAGCAAAATGAGCAAAGCAATTCTCTTAATTCACAATGTAGAGATACATAAAACTAATATACAAAAGTCAACTTTGCCCAAATGTATAAACAGTAATAAAAAAAAAAAAAAAAAAAAAAAAAAAAAAAAAAAATAAAAATCAAGCAATTATATAATTAAGTTCTAATTGAATTTATTTTTAAAAGCACCAAGTACTAAATAGATTGAATAAACTATTAATATATTTTTCCAAAGTGGAAAAATTCTTTTTGTTAAGGGTTTTAGTCTTCCCTTATTAGTATTTCATTATCCAGTAATGCTAACTAAACGAAAATTGGTTTCTTAATGGACAGCTACTAACAACAGCAAAGAAAGGTTTGCTGAAGTTGGTCCAATAAGTAGTTTGGGAGACACACGCACCTGCAGCACTTCCTGTGCCACTTTTCAAGCTGCCTCCACTTCCACCACCACCACTGCTGCTGCCGCCGCCTCCTCCACTGCCAGTTGTACCTCTTGTCACTGTGCCTGCATTGCCACCTGTGCTGCCTGTGCCACTACTGCTACGTTTGGGGAAGCCATTACCAAATGATGCACCATTGAGCATACTGTAGTTCTCTGCTGCTCGGTATTCACGACTTGGGAAGCTAGGGTAACTACCTAGATACAATAAATGAAGGAAAGAAAGAGTTTTATTAAATCATGAAATGCAAAATAATGCTAAAAACTGAGAAGAAGTACTAGAAAAAATAAATAAAACAAACAAAAAAAAACAACACACACACAAACTTCTAGTTGTTAGCAAATAAGTAACATTTTTAATCAAGACTGGCTGAAAATAAGTTGATTGAAATTAGTTCAAGCTAGAATGCAATGATAATTTTTTTTATTTTTTAAAAATTTAATATTTCTTTCAATTATATTCAAGGCTATAATGATTGTGATTATTCTTGAACAAATAAAAAAGTGTAATGTGCCCATATCAAGCATTATGACAATCAGTTTTAGTGAAGATGTTAGACCACTATTGGTTTTGGGGGGGAGAAGAAAGATATAGGAAATATTGGAGGGGGGGTAATAGTTTCCAACAGAGTTCAACAAAACTAGAAATTGGTACATAGTAAATAGAAAGGGAACATTTAGTCAATGATTAGCAGTTATATTCAACGTGTCACCAAAAATTAAGGAATACATACTTCTATTGCTGTAGCCACCTCTGTTACCACCACCGCCCCCTCCTCCGCCACTTCCACCACTGTTGCTGTTTCGATTGAAGCCATTGTTTAAACCGCCACGACCCCTATTCCCTCTAAAGTTGCGATTAGGAAAGCTTCCTCTGGGAAAATAACTAGTTGAGTAATTCCCACCTGAAGAAAAGAAAGAAAGAAGAAAAAAAGTTAACTAAATTATCAATATTTTAAAAAAAAAAAACATTCAACATGCCCATTTCAGTTCATTACAGCTGTATATTCTCTGTAACCAACTGCTTAGTTTTAAAAATCAAGTATAGCCAATTGCTTCAGATCACATCATTCAAAAGGTGACGTTTAAGTCCAGTCATGTCACAATAAGAAAGTTGGTTTTATACCAAAGTGCCTTCTATATGGATGCCTATATATTTAAAAAAAAAAAAAAAAAAAAGGGGGGTGTTTCAGGCCCAGCAAGCTGGACAGGTCAAACCCAATTTTCCAAAAGATCTTTTTGACTCACAGAAAGATTCCCACTATGAACCAGAGAGTAATGACTATCAAACATTAACATTTATTTTGTAATACTTCTTTTTCCGCACTGCATTTGAAAATAAGGCTATGATAGATAGTAAAATCATTAACGTAATCAATAACACACAGCCTTTTTATATCTTTTGACCAAGTCTACTTGTGTCTCTAAGATGTGTAAAATTAACTTATCTTAACCTCAATATTATCACAACCTATTCAAAACTTATTACAGCAAACAAGACTATATTCTCCTTGACATCAGTTTAACCCTTTAGCATTCAACACACTCAAACCCGCCCTATAAATATCAGTTCTCAATGTTTCAACCCACTTCATGTATACTCTGCTTAAATAGGACATCATCATTACAAATAACACAGAAAGTCATGCAAACAGAATCTGAAAGTCAATTTTTTCAGGGCAGGTTTGAGTGTATCAAATGCTAAAGGGCTAAATTGACACATTCTCCACACCCCATACACTGTAACCATTTTGCTTAAAATTTCTTTTTCAGTCAAAAATATTGAACAGTTCAGTGAATTTTTCACTTTCTAAAAAATTCTAGTTTAGATATATGCATAAAATGCATCAATTTAAGATGGGAAGAAGATATGTGTTTGAAAACATGTTATAACAAGGATTTAGAAATTGTAAAATTGAAGATTTAATTCTCTACTTAAAAAAAAAAAATCCACAGCATATTGAATTACTGTTCTTCCACTTCCTAACGTTCCTTTTACAGAAGAAAAAAAATACACAGGAAAATAGTTTAATCACTAATCAAATGATAAGAAAGATTAATAGTAATAGAAAGATTTTATTTTAAAATTACCCTGATTGTAATCTGTTGCTTGTGGAGATAACTGTCCCTTGCCATCACCTGTAGGAGAAGCATCTGTGTGTTGTGGTTGAAAGACTGCAGCATTGGCATTCATGGATTGAAATACTGCTGCATTGGCATTCAAATTGGTAAATTTTTTAACACCCTGAGATTGAGAGGAAGTGTCCTGTAAATATAATAAAAATGAAAAACTTCGAAAAACCCAGTTTCAAAAATATGCAATTCATTTATGATAGGGCTTTGGGGCGGGGATACTTTTTAATTTACACATTCTCAGTGGACAAAAATCTAAGTAGAGATAAATAATTGCACTAAGACAAAAATGTAGAATAAAGAGAAAAGCAATGAGAAGTAGTCAAGGAACATGAACTTACTTTCCCATAAGGATTAATGCCTCCATCTTGTAACTGAAAAATCAGAAGAAAAAAAATTCTTTGTTAATTTAGAATCCAAAATATCCAGACACATTTTTCATTAGATAAAACTTAAGTGTTTTAAAGTTTGTATGTGATTTGTTACAGAAATGGGTTGTTAAGGATAGACTGAATTTCAGATACAGATTTCTTTTTCAAGGGATATCTGTATCACAAAATGCTACTGTCCACACAAGCATACAAAGCTGTGTGTGTGTGTGTGTGTGTGTGTGTGTGTGTGTGTGTATATATATATATATATATATAAAAAAATCTTGGCCTCAGCTGTCATATATACAGTAAATATAATGATCTAATTAAAAAACTGAAATTGAAAAATGATGTTATATCAAAGTATCAAAAAACTTCAACTGATTACAACACCAGAATTTCTGAACTTACTGAAGGCTGAGGCAGTCAAAGATAGGCCTGACTAAAGTAAAAACTTTTCAAAAATATTAAAAGCATTACAAATTGCCACTACTAAGAAACTACAAAATCATCCAGATATAATTGTTAAAAATGCAAACTAAACAAACATCTTTGTCATTTTGAAAAAAATCGGATTATAATACAAAACTAGAACAAATACTTAATGACCATACAGAGGGGAAAAAAAAAAAAAAAAAAAAACACACACACACCTGGAATTCTACTAACCAACTGAAATTAAAAATTAACTTATCACAGTTAATAATGCTGAACAAGACAGTTTAAAAATCTTAAAATAGTGGCTGGATTATAGGCCAGGTTACATATATGGCACTATAAAAACACACAAACAAAACTATCCTCTCTGTTCTATTATATTTCAAATTCCCACTCTTGTTTATCAATTAACAAAAAGCATAATCCAACTTATCACACCATACATTCCCAGTAAACATAGCATAAAATCACCTTCAAATTCTAAAAAAAGAAAAACCTAATAATAAAACCATAGCCTCACTTAATGTTGAAAATTTATTCACTAATGTCCCAGTTAGTGAAACTTGATATTATTATTATAAGAAACATGTACAATAACCCATCTCTTCTATGTCCACTTAGAATTAAAACTATTATGGAAACTACTTTTAATTTGCACTACTAAGTCCCATTCTATGATCACAAAAATAATATACAAATACAATGGGATGGTGTTTCCATGGGTTCAGTTCTGGCCCAATTTTTAGCAATTCCTATGTCTACTAGCATAAATATGAACACTCTTAACTATAAAAGTGAATGTCCAAATGATATGTCCCGAAAAGGGACATATTTGCTCAAAGTAACAAAGTGCTTTTGGACTACTGTAACCGAGTAGGACAATCTAGCAGGTAACCATAATGGACTGGTCCTCGTCGTAGTGGTAGGCAATAGGCATAGACTATAGGCATAGCCAATAAGGCGTCGTCCTGTATCTCCACATCAGTCTGTATTTATGACTGACACCAGCCAATCATTACTGTGTGGGGGAACCCAGGTGTATGCATATTCATTACATCACCAAATTACTATAAAATAGCAATTATAAAAAGCCTAATAAACCATGCAAAAATTAACTCATCCACAGATGAACTAAATAATATAAAACAGACTCATAACTTCCCTAATCATGTTGCCAATGAACAAATAAGACATTCTATTAGAAATTTTAATATAAACCTAATAGAATATAATACTTCCTCAAATAACCCTAAACATATTAATCTTTTATATCACAATGAAAGACATTCTAATTATAAACAGGAAGAAAATATCCATAAAAAAAAAAAAAAAAAACAATAAATAAATATATATATATATATATATATATATATATATATATATATATGGAAAATCTCCAACAGAAGAGAAAATATATATTGGTCATACAATGTTGTCTAGAAGATTGACTTTTCATTTCAATGATGCATCTAACATCTCTCAACATTTACAACAGCATACCTCTCCTCATTCACAATTTAGAAAAATTCTTGTTAAAAATACATGTTAAAATCAATACCAATATTAGTAGATAAAGTCAAAATATTAAAAGCTATTATTATTATTATACAAAAACAATTCACATTAAATATCATTCACCACAGGTGAATAGATTTTCAGTACATAAAATATTTAATATACATACAAATACACAAAGACTCGATACATTTTCTGGTGCAGTCTACACAATTTCATTTATGATATGCTTATATATGAATTCTTAAAAAGAAAAGTTAACCATATAGACAGCATAGAGTGCATGAATTAAACATAATTTGGACAGAAATATAACATCTAATTGGAAAAACGCAAAACAATTGAGCAGTCCTTTATTATTTTTATATATATCTCACATACAGAGAGCCATGGGTATTGTTGTAATCTTATATTTTTAATTTTGTTGACTGCACAGTCTAGTAGGGTCAGTCAAATCAGAGTCTGGGAGAAAAAGAGCGTGTGATGAAATACTTGCAAGAAATTTGAAACAGCATGCTGTATTGCTTGGCATTCAAGCAAAAAGCTGGAAATGAATGAGATTGTTTTAACAGCCCATTAAGTTAAAATTAATTTTGGAAAGGATCCCAAAAAAGACTCTGCACCATGCCACATTGTACGGGAGAGAACCCAATCATGGCTGTCAGACAATTTCTGCAACCACATCACCCCCACATCTGGCCAAATCAGACTCCCACAGAGACTGCAATCCCATTGATTATTATGTGTGGGGCACAAATTCAAGACAAAAAGATGAACTGAAGAACTGAAGGATTATGGCAGTATTCACCAACTTAAATAAGGAGACTATCCAGAAGAGTTGCAGGAGATTCCAAAAAAGATTGAATGGGGCCATGGTTGAAGCCAATGGCGATCATTTTTAAATTTATATATATATATATATATATATATATATTTTTAATTACATGAAAAATTTACTGTAAATTAATATCTGTATTTGAATTATTTTTCCATCTTTTCCTGTCTACACAAGTTTTTTGGTTCATGCCCACTTTTCAAATGAATTTTGTATGAATAAAATGTTTTTTTATATAAGATGTCTGTTTTAAGAATGGGAACCTAATAAATGCAGATTTATTAAGCTAAAAAAAAATTCAAAATTTCTTAAAATGGTTTTTCTTTCAATACTTTTTATATTTCTGAAGTAATAAAGTCATTATAAGTTTATCTGCTGAATATGGTATACTAATTTCCTTTTATTTTTTTTTTATTCTGATGGACTCTGATGATTTAATGAATTGCAAAATTATACACATTATTTATAAAATAAACTAAATTTTTGTTCTAAATTTTATCACAATGTTTCAAAAAAATATACCATTTGATTTTCTTCAGGTGTCCAGTAATTGATTTTAGCCTTCAGGGGGCTTTTTGAACTGAAACTTTTATGTAATCTGTTTAAAAGTAAATTGTTTTCATTCCAAACTCAATGTCTTTAGGTTTTTTTTATTGCTCACTCTGAGTTTGTATTACTATAACTTGATTGCACTCTGTTAGTATGCCACTTGGCAAAAAGAAAATTAATCCAACTGGAAATAATGGTAATGCCTCATTCCAGAAATTCAGACAAAAATTACTATATAGATATCTGCTTGTAAATGATCATCTACTGTATTTACTTGCTGATAGGTCACACCTTTTTTCTTAAAAATTTCACAAAATATTAGGAGTGTGACCTATCCGTTCAAAAAAAACAATGAATTTTGTCATTCCGATTTCTGAAAATCTTAAATGATATAGATCAACACTAAAGCTATGGTTTTTCTCCATATAGAAACACTTTATCTATCATATATACTGAACATGCCATACATAAGTTAAGGAACCACATGTAGATGTTTATTGACAAAGAAAAATAGTCCCACAATTCATTCTGCAAAATATGTATATTTTGTCAAAATACATTGGAAAATATGACTTAAAGAAATGAAATATATATTATGAGATAATTTTCTTTAATGGTTTGTTTCATGTTAACATTAAAGAACAATTCTTAAGTGTTATTCACAAATAAGTGCATGAATCTAGTATGAAAACCTTTTGAATAAGTTGCATTGCATTTTTGTTATATAATTGGTATTTAATTTATAGTTTATAATTTTAATTGTTGCAAAAATAAATCATAAAAAAAAAGAAGAATTATAAAGCAGGTTTTAAATTAATATAATATGTATAAATATAAAATACTAGTATAACAAAACTTCCTTTTGTTTACATGATGATTGATGAAATGTATTTTAACTGCAAAAGATTAATAATAATTGTAAGTTTGAAAATAAAAGTTGAAATCTGAAAATTCTTACACATAATTTAAAAAAAAATTAAACTTATAAATTTCCCCAGATTTATCTTAGTTTAACCTATCTGCAAGTCAACAGTAAATCATCAATTATTAAGCCATAAAAAAAAAAGAGCAACCTATCCATCTTTGATTACCTAATATTCAATCTATAATATAATGTATTTAATTTTGGGTTTATCCACCTCTATCAAATAAATTGGAAAATTAACTAAATATCTTAACTAAATTAATATAATTAACTAAATATCTTGTTTTTGAAATGTTGGGGATGATTTTTTGAAATTTAAATTTAAAATACATTTATTTTAGTTTTTCACAAAAAAATCTTTAAATAAATTAAAAAAAAAAAATTCTCCTTTGTTTATTTTCAAAGAAGCTATGGTTAAGCAAATGAGGTGAAGGTTAAATAGCCATTCAAAAAAAAAACAGGTAAGATTCTTTTTTTTTTTTTGATTTTTTTTTTTCAATTTTTTTTGAATATTTTAAAAAAATTTTAAAAATTTGTTAATAGTTCTCCTTAATCTTTTAGGTTTATTTCTTTTTATTCAATGTTTTTTGGGTTTTTTTTTTTTGTTTGTTTTTTTTGCAACTCCTCATTCTTTTTAAATTAGTATGCATATAGATTGGAAATAATGAAGAACAAGTTACAAATTTTTTGAATTTGCATCCCTTTTTTAAAAGAGGAAAATTGATTTCCAGGAATTCCTGA